GTTGCTCCAAGGTTGGGATTTCCATCTGAAAGGGTGACGGATCTTGTTCGGAAGATCGAACGATTTCGGTTCCGGTCAAGAAGGATGTCGGAGCGGGTTTGGCCAACGAAGGAAGAGCCAAAGACGAAGCATTGGATTCCTGTGCCTTGACGACATCAAAGAGGTCCCTCATCATGGGTGAGGATGGGATCAGATTAGTAACGTTTGCGTTTGCCTTGGTGGCATCGTTTTCCAATGAATCGGCATGCGGAAGCACACCATCAGGAGTTTCCAACGACTTGGAACGACGGTGACGTTGCCAGGGAAGCTTGCGGTGGGGGGTGCTTTGCGGTTCCTTGATAGAGGAGGCAGTCATCGAGGAGCGAAAGGGTGGGGTCAAGTTAAACTTGGGAGTCAAGGAAGCGGCTCTTCCAAATTTGGGCTTGACACTCTTTCCTCCACTAGTACTACTAGTAGAGTGGGCCTGTGAGGACTGGCCGCGGACAAGTCCTTTGCGAGTCTGCCGAGTTCAGTCTTCATTTCGGCATCTTGCCTGGGTGGACTCGGGGGCGACAAGGTCAGATTGGTCATGGGAGTGTTGACGGCAGAAGCGTTGTCTCGTGTCGACTTTGGAGTCAAAGGAGGTTGTCGGGTATCCCTCTTGGCAGTAGAACTGCTTGGTTTCGTAGCACTGTTCAAGAGGGGATCAAATCCGACCAAGCACGTGTTCTTCTGATGATGTCCCACAACGGGTGCCGCAGCTGTGGCCGGCATGGGACGACTGCTGGGAGGCAGCGGACTCAGATTGAAGTTGTTGGGAAGACTCGCGTCGCCCATGGTTAGGCGAGTAGGAGAGTTGTTCTCAGGGACATGATACGACGCTCTGCGGTTGGACTTGGGCGACTTCTTGTTGGCGCCATGCTTGGGCGACTTCTTGGTCGGCGACACGGAAATACCAAACCCATTCACAGAAAAGGACCTGTAGTTCCTACGAGGGGATTCTGGCGGAGTCCGCGAGGATGCGAAGATAGGAGCTACCATGTCGTCGGGAAGTGGACTGTGGGGGTTGTTATGTTGTGTGGGTATGATGGCTGGTTCGGCAGATGTCATGATTTGTGAGAAAAGACGAAGATGAATGAAACTCAAAGAGAAGGCCGAAATAGCAAGCTACTCGTAGGAAGGATGACTGTCTCGTCGTCTACGCAGGAAGGAAGTGTCCCCGGCAGAGAAACTGTAGGAATGAATGTCTCTGGTTAGGGAGGTGCGCGGAAGTAAAACAGAAGTGTTGTGGGACAACTATTTCTTGGTCTTGCTGCAAATTCGAGTTGACGGCTTGACGTCCTGGGGAAGAAGGATGCCAGACGTTGAAGTCAATACAGCTTGGTCGTGCTACGAATCGCTTCGGTTACCTTCAGATAGACTAACTAATAAGGTCAACTATCTCATCAAACAGCCACTTGTTGTGGGTGCGGTAGCTCTTGTTGACTCTTGAAGATCTGATAGCTGTTATCAGTACCGCCATCAATGCTGGTTGTTACTTTTGAATGGGGAATGAAACATTGGTGTCAAACGAATGCTAAAAAGGGAAATTCCCTGAAAAATCCGAGGAGGCCGTCCAAGGAAGGAGACTTTAATTACCAAAAGGGTTCAAAAATTACCCACCAACGGTTTGCTTGAGGTTATGATCATACGTCACAGGATCACCTTTTCATTTTTGCTTGCAATTTTAAAGACATCGTCAATTGAAGATATCAATCAAAGATACGCACTTACCAAGCTCCCCCAGGAACATTCCGTGACGGGTTGGAAAAGCTCTTGGAAACATCAGTAACATGAGCTTCCCTCCAGCCTCTACAGCTGTACACTCCCAGCCATCTCCCTGTGATTCCCCACCACAAGGGCCCTACTCTGCCGCTCCACCAGGAACAGTTTCCGTGACGGTGGAAACATCAGTAACATGAGCTTCCCTCCAGCCTCTACAGCTGTACACTCCCAGCCATCTCCCTGTGACTCCCCACCACAAGTGCCCCCCTCTGCCGCTCCACCAGGAACATTTTCCGTGACGGTGGCAACATCAGTAACATAGCTTCCCTCCAGCCTCTACAGTAACTACTGTACACTCCCGGCCCTGTGATTCCCCACCACAAGTGCCCCCCTCTGCCTCGCTTAGCCCCCCGCATTCCCTACCGGTAACCCTTATTCAGTTCTTTAGTTATTGTAACATAGCCAGCTACATGTATCTAATAGATCCCCTTACGTTGGGTGTTCTCTACTGGGCGACTTTATTGAAGACTGCAATCCCCATCTCACAAAAAAGAAAGCTATTCTGTCTGCTTTGCCCAGACGCACCAATGCTCTAGTAAATCCCATTGGCAACCAACACTTTGGGATCAGTGCCAGTAGAAAAACAGAGTAGATTTCCGGCTTACTGCACTACTGTGTGCTAGCCTAGCTAGCTAGTGCAGAGATCACCCTCCTACGGTACCGTAACCTGTGCTACCGGTACGTGTCTGTTCGGATTGGCAGGCAGAGGAGCCAAGGATGATTGATCGAAGTCTCCTTGGGGTTGGGGTCACCGGCTCACAAGATACTAGCTAGTACGATGTTCAAGTCAGTCTTTGACAATGGCTTTAGAAGCCGGCCTGAGAGCTCGGCCATTCGCGGAAGACATGTTTCAGGAATAGAGCAAGTCGGCAATCTACCTTTTACCGCATGTCACTAAATTGGCGTCGGTGATACGTACCACCCCACGTACATTTCCATACCAGTAGCACCTAGCTAGAAAGGGCGGTTTGGTATTCGGAACGGTTGTTCTAAGCCAGCTCCAATCTTCTAAACGGCGAATGAGCCGCCACGACCAATAGTAACCAGCAGAGGCACGAATTGTGTTGCAACCATTGCATTCGTGATACCAGGTCTTCAATGTGTTGGCGATGGGACAACCAATATTCCGTCATCTCCAAGCGGCCACCTGTTCTCGGCCTGTCGCTCCTGATCTTGAATGCCTGCCCTGGCAAGCAAGCTACCATAGGGGATGGGCAAATCTTGCAATAGCCCTGTATTGTAATGGAGTGTGACTCGCCAAAATCAGTTAAAAAGACCAAATTTGTATTTTTGCAGGAAGATAAATTTAATTGGATTGCATTGGATTGGATTGCATTGAATTGGATTGAATTGGATGCCAAATAGTACTGTTATTTATATAGTAGACTGTAATTCAATGCAATCCAATCTAATCCAATGCAATCCAATCAAATCCAATAGAGAAAAACAGCCAAAGTGAAAGATTGGCTTGGCCCACACAATTTTTTGCAAAAACGCTCTAACAAATTCAACACAGAGCCATGGGCAAGTTGGAGCAAGTTTGCTCATCCCCAAACCAGAAGCTGGCCACAGCGAGTTGCTGCCTCAGGAACGTCTGCGGCTCATATCCAGTGGTGACTTTTTGCACCAGTTCATTCGTAAGGGTTGTCAAAGCAAGGGTCACTGCGCATGCGTCCATATAATCACTCAGCACTCGTAAGGGTTTTCAATCAAGTTTTAAAGATCAGACCACGTTTTTCGTCCAAGTCGCCTAATTATCTGTCTGTAGCGGTACTAGTTGTACCGGTATGCACGGGTTCACGAGTAACTTTGGTCGATGTGCAATATTGTACGTACCGGTACCGGTAGTTGCAAGCCAATCGTACCGGCACTGAAACTTGCACCGGGGCAGAGCTGACAATGTAATGTTGAGATAGACCCCGCCATGTTGAAGAAGGCGGCCATGGACACGAACTCGCTCATTTGCTTGGCCCCTGAGGTGCCTCGAGCGATGACACGGGTCCGCGTCTGGCTGCTTCAGTTGAAGCTCGTTTCAACTCCTGGCTCCTGCTCCCCGGATAGCGATACCTGCAGTCTCGTGCATGGCCACAAGCTTTCGTTTCAGCAAGTCTTCTCTTGAGGGCAATGAAAAATTGACTTCTGTAGTATTCTGGTACTGTAGCGACTACATGCACATTCTGGAACCCGCCAATCCGAGAATGATTCTCTTCTCTGCTCCAGGTCGAGGTTTCGAAGAGCGATCCTTTAATGAAAATGACATCAGAAATCTTTTCGGCGGACACTCTTCTTTGCTAGATTCGTATACCAGTAACGCCGTTGCTTGCCCCCGAACAGGCGCCTGAAGCGGCGGTCAAACGGCTCGCTGAAGCTTCGTTTCCGGGCATCATCAGACTGGTACCAGGTACACTATGTCCAGCCTCCGTCCCCTCACTTTCAGCCATGCCAGGCGAATCGCTAGAAAGAAAGCTTTCGTGATACCGGCCCCGTCGATGCAAGCGATCCACGTTTATAGTCAATTCATCCCTGCGGCATCCCTCCTCATTGCTAGTGCCAGTATCCAGGGTTGAAGCGAATGGACGATAGCTCGGCTGGTAGCCACAGTCGTCAAGAACGCGCTCATCGATTAGTTTCCTTTGCTCACTTCTTGGAAACAGGAGCGCTTGCTCCACCGGTATCGTAGCAAGGGGCAACGCAACGACCGTCAAGTTGTTGTTGGATGAGACAAACATAGCCTGTCGAAGCAACTAGCTAGTATGCACTCTTCTCGCCGGCAACGTGAACCCTCTTATCAACATAGTTTGGAAAAGAGGCTGCATTTGTACATCATGCCCTAATCGGTGTCCACTACGTAACCATTTGATGCAAGTATGGATAGAATATTTTGCTTAGCAGGCAGGTAGGTTGTTCTTTCTACAGGGTTCGATGGAACTTGGTCTCTGTCTGTGGCATATGCGCGGTCCGCACTATCGCAAGGAAGCAACACTATGGATCTGGTACGGCAGGCCTTCTGCGAGCTTTCAAAGAGCAGCAAACATACGGTAGAATTCGGACGTACTTCTGAACAGCATGACGAGCGAATGAGAGCACTCCTACAATCGAGAAGAATGCGACTAAAATAGTGCAGATTGACTCTAATGGCATGTGACGCTGAACGGCAAATCCAGCAAGTAGCCTAGTGCGATGTCACTACTTTCGTTTTCGCATGGGTTGTCCTTTGGACCATGCACCTTCATGCCGCATAGTTCCATTCGGTCTGATTTCTTTGCCTTGACCGTGCATCTCTCCGTTCCACCATTCTCCTTCGTACCATCCACCATCGCTCCATGTCATCTTCCCATGGCCATGGAATTCACCTTCCCGGAACTCTCCTTCGTATATGGATTCATCGGTGAAAACGCACTTTCCACGGCCGTGGCGCATTCCATCGGCCCACCCTCCTTCATATGTTGAGCCATCCTGGTAGATCATTTTGCCCTCGGTCATCTGGCCATTGACGTATTCACCGACAAAGACACGACCATCGGCAAATCTCATGGTACCTTTTCCATGTTTGTGGTCATTTCTTAATTCACCTTCGTAAAGGTCACCGTCACCGTTGCTAAGACGACCTTGGCCAGTCCATCTTCCGTGCTTCCACTCTCCTTCATACCACCGTCCGGCGGCATATTCCAGTCTGCCTTTTCCGTGTGGCATGCCGGTTCCTTTCGATAAGGTTCCTGCATAGGTGCCTTTTTCGCCGTAGGGGTCAACGATGACTTGTTGCTTGACTTCGTAAACTTCCACATCATTACCATCCCAACTAACAGACTTTTTATCGTCGCTTCCTGCATCCATCCCGGATGATGACGACTGTGACTTGTTGTTGTTGTAATTGTTGGATCCTTTCTGTGTTCTCCGCCGTCGGTTCTTGTCACCGCGACGGGACTGTCTTGAATTGACACTGCGTGCATCCCCATCGCGCGAATCCCCTCCCATACGATCTCGAGTGTTTCTTGAGACTCGAGACCCACGGCTGACATAGGACATTTCATCAAAGTCGTCCTTGAGTCCAGAGTCTTCGCTCCCGCTTCCGTTGGCCTCCACTTCGGCCAACTCGATCTCTCTGGGAAGACTCTTGACGGTCTGAGAAGCCGACACAAGAGAGGCACGAGACTGTCGAGAACTGAGGGAGTTTCTTCTGGCTGTTCCACCGCCTCCTCCTCCGCCACCACCGCCGCCGCCAGACATTGCAAGGTTTTTCTTCATCATGGCGGGACCGAGGAACGCACTGGATTCGTCGTCATTGATGGTATCGTCTTCGTCGATGCCTTCGCTCCAGTCTTGGTCGTCGTCGTTTCCTCCGTCCCATTCGGACTCGTCGTCGTCTAGCAGAATCGCAGCAGGAAATCCTCCTTGCTTTCGTGATCCTCTGCCTTTTGACGACTTTCGAGAATATACACTCATGTTATCGGCATTGGCTTCTTCCTGGAGCTGTCTTACAATCTCGTTCAGATAGCTCAGTTGGGATTGACATGACTCGAGTTCTTTCCGTAACCTTTCATTCTCTTCTTCTTGTAGTTTGAGTAGTTGTGCACTCTTGGACGATGCAATTGTGGGATCATCAGTAATGGATGGAAGAGAACTCCGTGCACTATGTTGCGTGCCGTCCTTGCTGCCATGGTTCAGATAGGAGTCTAGACCCCCTTGCTGCTGGGCTGCTCGTTTCTTTTCTTCTTCTCTTTGCTGGTTCTCCTCCATGGCAGCTTTCATTTTCAAAAATTGTTCCTTGACGAACTCTTTGGATACATTGGGACATTGGACATAGTAGACTTCGGCATCACCCAAGCTCATTGTCTCTTTTGGATCTAACTTGAAGAGGTACTTCTTAGCCTCTGCTGCACTGAAGAGCGAAGTCCATTTGTAGTTTTTAGGATTCTTCATGTACTTGAGAATGTGTGCCTCGGTGAAGTGATGTCTGGCAATGTTGTACCTTATTATTTCCTCTCCTTTGGCAGGCTTCCAATCCTGTCTTTTGTCCTTGCTCACTTTGAGAGTTCGATCTACACTCGCCTTGAGAGGGATGGATGCTGTGTCACCCTTGGTGAACTTTACTTTGACAATCCCATCCAATACAGGATGACCCACGCTGCGATAGGCTTTTTGATAGGTCCGACAGTTCTTCCAGCTGCAGACACATTTCGGCAGTCCTTTCGCAGAGGCAGCGCTCTTCGTCGTTGCTACAGTTGCGTCGTCCATGATGATTATGACGACAGTGCTCTATTATATAAGTGGCAATTGTCGTTGTGGAGGCGTATGGTTGTGAGCCGCGGTCGCAATGGTAGCCGACGGGATGTGTAGGAGCGATAGTTGGCAACACTACTATAGAGTTGTGGGGAGAGCCAAAGCCTAGCGTTTGGCTTACTCTGGGTTGTTGTTGTTGGATCCGCCGTTCGTCCCCCGTACTGCGCTTCACACAAGCACGAAGCAGATTGATGACTACTACGGTGTCTATCCTTTGATCGAGGAAGGAAGCTTCACCCTCTCTCGCAACCAAAGAGATTTGTTCCGTTCCAGTCAGTCACCACCAAGTACGACTGTTGCAGGAGGACGACGACGGGTCACACGAGACCACACGATAGCTGACCAGAACTAACTAACTCCTATAGCCGATCCAACTAACAGACTGTCAATGATGGGGGCTCTGGTAGTGTCGGTACTGATGGCGCTGGTCTGGGTGTGGCTGCGGCGACCGCTAAGATGCTGGCCTCCTTCGTCCAGTCCTTCATTCAATCAACAATCAATAGCTACGGTAATCGTTGCGCTGCGGTTGCTGTGCCTGTGCTGTGCTGTTGGAGGGCAGCAGCGGGCCAAAGAAACACCACTGAGTTACAAAGAGTGTGACCTTCAGTAGTCAATGACCATGACCAAAAGCATTTTTGAGGCATTAGTTTTCAGTACCGCTGAGACAAAACAATACTGACGACGTTTACACCCCGTTGGCAAGGCGGGGGTACCAGGTACCAGGTACGGTAATCTCGCTCCCTCTTCTGGACAACTTGAAACAAGCTTGCAAGCACGTCTCCAAATGTTGCCAGTTTGCTCAATATGACATAGATCCAGGTCAGTCTCAGTCAAGTCCTTGGGATCATGAAAACACTTTAGCTAGCCTGCCTGGTTAGAGGGGTGTCTCTACATGTACTGATCATATTTCCTCTCTTAGATTGATAGTTGACTTTTCTGGCGGATCATTTTCATTGCTCCAGGAATGCCAAGTGCTGGCCGTCATAGCTGTCACCATACCGTACAGCACCGCCAGAAGTCTGAGCCAGTTTCAAACGGTTGGTGGGCGGCTGGGCTTTGCTTGCCTGCCATCCCTGGACAGTGCCTTGCTGCGGATGTTGTGTAGTGGTCTAGCTAGTGTCCTACTCACTTTCCTCTTACACTTCGCTCCAAAAGTGCAATAAAACTATCTAGCTACTCACACATTGGGTTTGCTTCCTTTTACTATAGCGTTTGCTTTTGCTTTGACCGTTGCGGGTCTGGAACCAGAAGGACCCTCGCTCAAAGATGGGCCTGGTAGCTACAAGTGGACGAAGCTGCCAAAAAAGCCAAGCCTTACCAAAGAGCTATGATCGCCAAACGTGGCTCGTCTCTGAACTGGATGTCTTCTGGTACGGTGGTACCTCCATCATTGTCCTCTCTCTCCGGTGGTGGTACCCTCTTGCTGTGCATGAAGTCAGTTCCAATATTTGTCATATGATTTGCTATTAATAGGATTATTAATAAATTGATAGACGACCCGACCCGCCCCTTCACTAAACTACTAGTATACTGAGATGTAACAATAATGTAAAATCCTTCCATTCCTTTTTCCAGGAACCTAACCGTAAAGATACCACACCATACCAAAGACTGAACTACCACTTTTGCTTTCACGAAGCACTTGCAACCAACACATAAAAGCAACTGAGCGAATTCTCTCTCTTTTTCTCCTAAATACTGGCCTGGTAGGGGTAGTAAGCCACGGACCTAGTACTCTGGCCTGGACTTTGCTTCGAGGTAGCCTCGGGGGGAGGAATGTAGCTCGAAACAGAAACACCCTCACTGGTGGCAACACCTGACGAAGTGCCCATCGTGGACATGGGATCGAGCACCAGGGGCCTCATCTTCTGGGCAGATCCTGGGGGAGACACGACAGGGGCCTGTTCAGCAGCCAAGGGAGACGAGCTTTGGTTGGGACGGGCCACAGGATCTGACTTCTTCCTGCGTCCACCTTGCATCTTCCATACGAACCCAATGCTATTCAATAGCTCAATGCGATCATCGGTCAACGACGACTTCTTTCCAAGTTGCTTGTAGCGGTACTGCTGGCGCATGTTGGCTGTCCAGAAGCCAAGCTGAGGGCACTCCTCCCCTGCAAGTGTGGAAGGTTAAATGCTGTGAGAATCGGCATAATGTTATGTACAGTACACAATATTCCAGCAACTTACATTCGTGAGGAACATCGACGTGTCCATAGCGCTCCTTGAACTGCCGGAGACCTTCAAAGCGGGTCTCCCAGGGGACTTTTCGAGGGTCCTTGGTCGTCCACTCGAAGCCGAGTTCCGTCAATCGGCTCACCCGATCTTCTGGCATGGGGAGACTCTTGTTTTTGTAGTAACGACGCTGAGTGGCAACTGGTTTGGTGAAAAAGAGTAACAGAAGTGTTAGAAGTGAATGTAGACCATCATCATCACAATCTCGTTCAGTTGATTAGGACTCACCCCAACTTCCAAGCGAAGGATCATCCGGGAAGCGGTTGGGCACTCTGCAATGGCCGTGGTTGGTCTTAAATTTGTGCAACCTCATGAACATATCTTCCCAGCGTTGCTGGTTGGGGACGACATCATTGTTGGCTGCCCGATACTTGGATGAATAAGAGCACCCGGCATTGGGCAGAGCATCCAAGTCACCGTACTTGGACTTGACTCCCCTCTTGGTTTGTGGACTGCCACTGGGCGAGGCTGCCACTAGAGCCGCAGGGGCGGTAATAGCCGGAGCTGGTTTGGCTGAATCGACCGCTGCCGTAGCGGTGGGTAAAGGAGGCATGAGTGCCGTCACATTCATGAGGGTTTCCCACGCTGAATCGCCTCTCCCCTTAATTTGTTTTTCCTTGATAGGAGAGGCATCATCCCGTTCGCCTCCATCCGAACGGTCGACAGAGGCAGCCCTATTATCGGTGTGAGAAGGAGCATCGCGTTCTTCTGCCTCGGCACCCACAGCACTAACACGTCGTGGCTGGTATTTTCCTTCTTCCTTTTGAGCCTCGACGAGACTCTTCTTGCGCTTCTTTGGAGGGCGTCTTGTCTCCACGTGCGTTTCGCCATCGCCTGTGGCATCAGCTTCGTCGGTGGGGTTCTTCTTCTTGCGTTTACCATTGTTGGCTTGGTCAGAAGCCACTGTTGGAGTCGCATCGTCGCGTGAATCTTCTTCGTTGCCATAGCCCAATGTACCAACACCTCCCAAGTCGACGCCAAGACGCTGAAGCCTACCCACTCGTTCGTGTGTGAGACACGTTGTAGCGTAGTGGCCGCTGCCTGATGCGGACGCCACAAAGGCAACATAATGGCGGCGTTGCGACATGACTGTGAACGAAGTTAAAGAGACGAAAAGATCATTGTCATGAGCACACAAGAAGACACAAACAACAACGAGTTCAGCCGTTCATGCTGCCGTTGTCTGTCAATCGGTCACGATACATCCTCGAGAGAGCTTTTGTTTTGAAACTCTCAACGACAATCATGTCCGCGAAACAAGATGGCGGTTCACACAAAAACCATCGGCGAATTGACACTCACCCCATTGCGCCAAAACGGAATCGTCCGTTTCGCGATCTGCCTGACAATGTCCCTTCAAAGTCTTGAATGCTTTGAGGCGTTCGAACATGGTCTCCCATTCGCCTTCCTCCTCTTTCACGCTACCACCAACCGCAATGGCTTCATTCCCCACGGCAGCAACACCTGTAGTGGTGGTGGTGGGAAGGTCTTGAGATCTCTTCCATCGAACCATGATTCTCGATTGTGTGCGCCCAGCGAGCAAGCTCTGTCTGCTACCTTGTGCTGCAGGTGATTTCTCTGCCTCAATCCTTTCGACTGAATCCACTTTTATCGCGAAAGAATCGCTGCGAGTGCTGCCCGCAGTACTTTCCCCAAGGGCTGCTATGGCTATCGTAACTGATCGCTGGATGCTAAGTGGTGGCAAATCAAAAATAAAGGCAAATTGTGGCTCAACGGATCGCTCTTTTTCGCGTCCGGGCGGCATGCTGCCCCTCACAAGAAGAAACCCGGACTATGGGCTGGCTTCTAAGAAGTTGAATGGATCGCGGAAACCCAGCACGCGGTGCTCTTTGTGCACCTTTTTGCGCCGACCTACACACCTCCCGGGATGTTGTAATCAGCATTACATTTCGCAAGAATTGCGAAATTTTGCACTGCGGCCCGTTGTGTTCGTAGCTCCAATCGTTGAAGGGGCTGGTTAGATTCAACTCTGCGGTACGGCGAATGCTACCGGTACACAATCTTGGTGCAGCCAAGTACGAGTCCCAGCATCTTGTACCGGTACGGGACCGTCTACGACTTATACTTCCAGGTGAAGCTAGCTAGCTATGTTGAGGAGGATGACAAGAAAAGGGCGTGATCCCGTACAAGGTGCTCCACAGATGCAATCAAACCTCCTGATGCTGTCCAGGCAGGGCCTCCACTGTCGTGCCTTGCGCAAGCCACCAAACGTAGTGATCCAATTCCGATTCAAGTTGAACGTAATGGGTGCCGCACGCAGCACGCACAAGATCCAGATGTTTCGATGTCTCTCGATGATAACTCATTGATAATTGAAGGATACATGCCCTCAGCAGGGCTACCGTAGTTCACAAATAGCTGGCAATTCTCCAGCAGGAGGCTTCAAAGCTTGCTGAACTGGTTGGGGCTACTCAAAACAGACTTGTGCTACTATTCTCGCTTTGAAGCTTTGAGTTGTGAGTTTTTGCGGGGCTAGTAGCCCCAATATAGTCACACGACATGGTCCTCATCAGGGCACACAAAAATTCAAGAGTTTTGCTTGATATGTCCTTTCGTTGGAATGCCTGTGGTTGAGGAGCTTTGTGGCTCACAAAAGCTGTCATAGTAGGACTGAGACTAGCAATGCCTCTCCAGAGAGAGTCGAGTCATCGGGCAACTCTACATGTAGTTGCAATCGACTGCCATCCAAACCTCCAAGGCGGAAAATTGTTGCACTGGGAACTGATCAATCCCCTGACACTTGTCATCTGGGTAAGCCTCCTCTGGATTCTTTCCAAACATCAAACCAACGAACGCTGTTGAAGATGCTGATAGTGTTATGGAATCAAGCTATAAATGTGTCATTGTGAGTGTAATGTATTCTTCGGGGGGCGGTTCCAATCGAAAATGCTTACGTCTCTTTGGGGGAACATATTTTGCTGGTTTCCATTCAGGAGGAGCTTTCACGTATCCTTTCGTGTAGTTGTCGTTACTGTCTCCCTGCTCCGTGATATGAGGAGCAGAAGTTCCCGGGGGCGGTTCCAGAGAGGCAGGTGTGGGTTTGTTGCTGGGTAATTGTGGTCTTGTTTCAGCCGGAGTTTGCGATTTCGTCTCTTCCTCGTTACAAAATGCTGGATACCCATTCTCATCGAAATAGACACTCGGCCAAGAGGGGCTCAATACGAGCGCTTCTTTCGAATTGTGTTCCGTCAAAATGCACTCCATGGCAAAATTAGCAAAGGATCGTTCGGTATGCAACATCAGGCCACTCATGGGATGCACGAACACGCAAGGCGCATTGCTAAGGCGCTCTCGTTCCGTCGGCGAGAGATGGCTGGCAGTATCCAGCAACATTTGAACCGCTGAAAGATTTTTCATTGAAAACGAGGACCAACCAAAAGAAAAAACACAGGAGAAATGAGGGAAATCCAACTCTTCCAGCGGGTCTCTATGGATCTGCCGACGTACTGTAATTCAGGATGTCAAAGCAATCGACCAACAACCGACGATCTTCCACATTGTAGACTCTGTCGAGAGGGATAGGAATCAACTGATTGGCCACTCCAGGAAGACATATATTGATTCGACCAGGCACAAACACAGAGTTGCCGTCCGCGGGTTCTTGCTGTTCCTTAGCCAAGTTTCTTTCCTCGGCTTCCATGAGCCGCAGATAATGATTTATTGACTTCTGTAGCAATACACGTGCAGAGGGCCAGAGATCAAACCACCTGGGATGATTCAAGAGAGGGGTGAGAGGGCAAAGCAAGCAAAATGAGCAGCAAAGTGCCGCTTCGGTCCCTTTCCGTCTGTGGTGCATCTGGTGGTTGCTTTGGGTAGAGGTTGAGAAAAACACAAGGAAGCCAAAAAGATTTCTGAAGTGAAGAGAACATGAGAACCACGACCCGCGAAAAATGACCCTTTGCGAATTGCGAATGACCAGCAGAACGCGACATCGTCACTTTGGACACGGCGACAGTTTCCATGCATGTGCATGACCTTGTTGTCTTGGGCCTGGTATAGCACGTACCGGTAGCTTCCATCATGATGATTGTACACTATTTTGAAACTACATCCTAGCTACTGGTAGCTTGACACTCGAAGCAGATATTGGTCCACCAAGGCTAAGGGAGCACTCAGCTACACACACACATTCTATGGAGTTTGGAGGCTGCAGCACTTTAGAATACTACATTATCCATTGCCAGAGATATCCATAGCCAGATCCTCAAAAATGCACAAAAAAACTAAGGAACTATATGTCTAAATCAGTCTACACAACATTCAAGCTGGGTTCCACAGTCTAACAATAGCTCCAGTTGGCCTGCTTGTACTCTCTTGCAAACCTCAACAGGCACCTGCCCAGTGACAGGTGTGTCCGTTAGGTCTAGCTTCCTCAAGTGAGCAAGTTGACCAAGTTCAGACGGAATCGTTCCCTCAAGCCTGGGATTGCTGGACCAGTCAATTTCAAGCAGGGACCTGGCCAAACCAATCTCAGTTACAATTGTGCTGGTCAGAAAGCCTCTGTGACCATTCCCCAGATATTCCAAGTGAGTCAGGAGTCCCATGGATGAAAACATTGGGCCTTTATCTCTAAGATTGCCTGTAACATTAGTGACCTCAAGGTTTGGAGTCAGATATTGTAAAGCCCCCTTGTTGCTTCTGCGAATCTTGCTATGGTCAATCCGCATGACCTTGAGAGCAGGGAAGTAGGCCCCGGCATTAATGATTGGAGCCCCCTCTAATTCAGTGTGGCAAACAACAAAGACTTCAATTTCTGGAGTGGAAGTGATTGGTGGCAGTGCACCAGCAATGGGATTGTAACCAAGGTCAAGGATCTTCAGTGAGGGAATGAAGTAAGTGTACCAAATTGGGAACGTCCCTGTCAAATTGTTTGATGGCAGGCTCAAGTTGATCACTGTGCTGTTTTCACAGACATTGGCTTCATAGAACTTGCTTGAGGTGGCAAAACTGCTCTTGGTGAACCAATTGCATTCGGAGACTTCATAACTGAGCCAGTTCTCATTATCAAGCCAAGAATCACCATTTGTAGCATGGTACATCATGGCCAAATAGAACCTTTGCAGATTTCGTTCTTTGGCGTAGATGCTGAAGTTGGGATCCTTCATGACCCATTCATTTGCATGATAAAAAGGACTATATCTGTTCTCCAAAATGCCCGTGGTAACCAAGGCAGGGAGATCATCATGGAATGGTGGATAAGGGGCTTGGTCTTGAGTGAAAGTACTGCTTGCACTCATTGTGGTCTCTTTGAGTTCACCATCAGACCGCCCCACAAGGAAGACCAGCATCAATACCACTGCAAGGACAGCACAGCCAAGAATGGCAACCCACCCAATCCAGCGGCCTTGCTTGTCTTGTTGTCTCCTGCCTAATACTTTACCCTCAACAAGTTCAGTGTTGCTGCTGTGATGGCTGCCATCTGTATTATCCGCAGGTGCACTCTCTTCATCCAGAGCCACTAGGTGGGCATCATCAATGTGCACTGGATCGCTTTGAGATGCTCTGACACTGCTATAAATAACCAGACTGGAAGCACTTCCCCGGTGGGCACCTGGTCCTCCGATTGCAAAGGCTCCTGGTGGACTTTCTTCATCTTCCATTGCGTTGATTGCCATATTCAATGCTTGTATGTCTTCAACAATATTCCCCAGAGACATGACATTGGGTCGCTCTGTAAGACTATCTCCAGACTCGCTCTTCTGGTTGCTTGCTTCTTTGTCCTTGGCAGCGGCTGAATTCTCCATTGTTTTCTCATCGGTCTTGGTTGGCGACAGTCCTGGTTGCTGTCTGTTATCTAATTTGGCAGCTTTTGTTTCTACCAAATAATTAGAGTGTAACATCTCGTTCTGATCTCCGGATATCAATGAGCTAGGAATACCAGCAGGCAATTTGGGGTTGGCTGCATCGTCTCCTTCGGTTGACATGGTGCTTGCTCTGGCTTTTCCGAGCGTGGCCGCACTGGTTGGAAAAGCAAAGGAGTTAGTTGTGTTTGCCGCAGCCAGAAAACAGTAACAGGACTATCGCTCAGGGGCAGTACTAGCTAGCTAGTCTATTGGAGACCTTTTGGTGTTGTTTTCTCGTTCTACTTGAGAGGAAACAACGCTATGACAGCATATCGTTCCTCATTCCCCATGTTGGTGACCAGACGACTATGCAGCGGTCGGTACGGTGGTGGCTTGGATATTGGACTTCTACCAAGCGCCAAAAGGAATCTCAAGAAGATTGATTCAAGATTCAACCAGTCAACATTCAACCAGACGGTCCATTCTGTGCCCTTGTATTGTGAGAGTTTTTGTTAATTAGGAGTAAGAGTAAAGGCGACATCACTGTGCATCTGTACACTGCGGCGTTATGTCGTTGTGGCATCTTGATTATTGGATCAATAAATTTGGACATTCTGCCGGTACCGTACCAGGTACACGTATTACTTCTTGGCGCCATGAACCAGTATTAATAGGAGTACCGGTACCCATTGTAGTCTAGCCAGGAGTAGTTTCGCTGTGGGAGTAAAAGCTATGTACTACCGTAGCTATGCATAGCTATGCATAGATTCTTTGCTCACTTTTCTAACGGGATCAGCTCGGGATCAGAAATTGCCTACTTTTGATTACTCTCAGTTCCCATGCTCGTGAAGTTTGCAGGTAATACCTGGTAGAGTAAAACGGTTTCAAATTAGTGTGGAAGTGAAGATTTATGTGATATTTTCTGTGTCGAAAGAGGTGTTTTCGTCTTGATCAAGGAATTAAAAAGCCTTGCCCCCGAACCGCCGAGAGATTTCGTTAAACAGCGACTGAATAAAATTCAAAATGGAATGGCGGACGGCAGAGCTCTTACAATTTGAAAATTTGAGCTCTTTTCTCAATGCATTTTCCTACGCCCGTTCATTTCGATTGAACTATCAATCATTCCTTCCCTACAGTAGCTAGCATAATCCACTAGACTTTAGCCTTCCTACTCTGAGAATCTGCCAAGAGCGCGACAAGCAAAAAGCAAAATGGCGAGCAAAGATACCAAGAACGCCTCCATGGGTACTTGTGAACCTACTGAAAGCGAGACCAACCACAGCAACCATGACCAGACGGATGCCTTTCCCATCGCAAAAATGAACCATCACTCATTTGCTGCCAAAGAGAACAGCACACCCAAAGAGAAGCAGCAAACATTCGGACCTTCACCAACCAATACCAAGGAGAAAACAATGGAGAATTCAGCTGCTGCCAAGGACAAAGCAGCAAGCAACCAGAAGAGCCAACCCAACGATGCAGAGGCCAGGGACAATCCCACAGAGCGAACCCACCGTTATGTCACTGGGGAATATTGTTGAAGACATACAAGCATTGAATATGGCAATCAACGCAATGGAAGATGAAGAAAGTCCACCAGGAGCCTTTTCAATAGGAGGACCAGGTGCCCGTCGGGGAAGCTCATCCACCCTTGTTATCTGCAGCAGTTTCAGAGCTTCTCAAAGCAATCAAGTTCACATTGATGATGCCCTCTTGGTTGCTCTGGATGAAGAAAATGGGCCAGGGATGACATCCATCACAGCAGCAACACTGAACTTGTTGAGGGTAAGGTTCTAGGCAGGAGACAACAAGACAAGCAAGGCCGCTGGATTGGGTGGGTTGCCATTCTTGGCTGTGCTGTCCTTGCGGTGGTATTGATGCTGGTCTTCCTTCTGGGGCGGTCTGATGGTGAACTCAAAGAGACCACGATGAGTGCAAGCAATAATTTCACTCAAGACCAAGCCCCTTATCCACCAGTCCATGATGATCTGCCTGCCTTGGTTACCACGGGCATCTTGGAGAACAGAGATAGTCTATTTTATCATGCAAATGAATGGGTCATGAAGGATCCCAACTTCAGCACCTACGCCAAAGAACGAAATCTGCAAAGGTTCTATTTGGCCATGATGTACTATGCTACAAATGGTGATTCTTGGCTTGCTAATGAGAACTGGCTCAGTTATGAAGTCTCAGAATGCTATTGGTTCACCAAGAGCAGCTTTGCCACCTCAAGCAAGTACTATAAAGCCAATGTCTGTGAAAACAACACAGTGATCAACTTGAGCCTGACATCAAACAATTTGACAGGGACGTTCCCAATTTGGTACACTTACTTCATTCCCTCATTGAAGATCCTTGACCTCGTGCAATACACGGCTCTTAGCCTTATTCGCGACTCGATCCTAGATAGGGTTTGAGTTCGACTCATGACTGAGTCTCTCGTGAATAGTTATTGAGACAGGGTTCTCAATGACCTCTCTAGTCATACTAGGTTGATGATGAAACATCGCTCTAGATATTTAGCCAGCGTGGAGTACTTCCACGCTACTAGATCCATGCTAGACAACCTTCCACGCGTTCCGTTTTAGGATCGTGGAGATACGTAGATTACTACCGCAACCTACTATCACACTTTATAGTCTCTCCCGCGGGAGACAACTCATACTTCACATGATCTCTCTCTGATTAGTTTTCTAGCTTCTAATCTCTCTTATAACTTTATTCTCTCAAAACAAAAACACTCGAAAGATCTTTACACTAGCTTTTAGCGTATTGCATTTTGTTAACAAACACAATAGCTTTCAGCTACCCTCAACTATTCCTTCACCATGAAGATTGCTCAAGAAAGCATGCGTTCACCACTTCGAGAAACAGTTGCGTGACAAACCATTCTTCCTCTCGTCAACAATGACGAAGACGCGAGATCGACGATTCTCGTGCACCACCTACAAACTTCGCACCGTTCCTGCAGATGCAAACAGTGCCAAATACACCTTCAAGGTAGCCATCATCATGGTTCCAACACTCCACGTCAGACCATCAAGTGGGCACGAATATGGAGAAGGTCTTCGTTGGACTCAACCTTGCTAGTCCGACGACAAACATCGCCTTCTAGGAATGACTTCCAGCTCTGCAAAGAGTGCCTACGAAGCTGGTGTGCAGGCTATCGTGCCGTGCGTCATAACGCCTACGACAAATTGGCTTGATCTCTCTCAACAACAACAAC